AACCACTACTTTGCAGAAAGAGAACATTTTGTCATTTTAAGTTGTTTATTGCCATACTTCAACCTCCAGATCTGTAACTAATTTGCAGATTAAAGCCTGAACTCCTGGTGCAAGTTCTTAATGCCAGAGCAAACAACACAGAACACTTTCTCAAAGAAATGTGCTTCTTTTTAGATTCTCTGGTGGCTCCCTAGTGGACTGGTTCAATAACTTGCCTCTGTTGTGTCTGTCTCAGAACATTCTCAGAGTTTGGAGGATATTCTAGGTGGGTTTGCCAAAAGAATATAGAGGCACAAGTATTGTTGCGGCAGTCTTGTACAAAGGAAAACACATCAGAGAAATAATAGACAGACTGAATGGCCTGGAATTGAAGAGGTCCATAAAGGAGATTTGTTGAGGAAATAAGCATTTGAAAGACACTTGCATATAACAGGGAATGGAAAAAGGTATGCATATGCCCAAGGTTATAAAACCTTCTAAGACAAAACTGAGAAAACACTTTTCTATTACTTGCAGCTGGGCTGACTTTCAGCCACAGAGCATCTGTGCAAACATAAAGTTCAGGCCAAGGTACAGTTATAAACAACCTCAGTAAGCACTGAGAGAGGTCCCCAAACAATCAAGCTGAAAACAATAAGAAAATTTATTCCTTCTTTCTTTGCCTACAAGTATTTTTTGAAATCTCTGTCAAGATAATAGATGACCACTAATCTTACAAATGATGATTTCAGTGGCCACACAAGAAAAAAGAAAATAGACTTTACAAAATAGCATAGAAAAGTCACTAAACGGGTAAATGAAAGCAACTCACCACACATAGCAACTATTAACCTCAGGAAGGAAAGGGAATCTGATTTTTGGGGTTGCTACATCATAATATTCAAAATGTCCCGGTTTCAACAACATCATAATCCATGCAAAGAAACTAGAAAACATGGTCCATGGAGACCAGGAAGTGGTAGATAATGTGTTTAAAGTGCTGAAAGGTAAACAAATTTTTAAAACATTCCAAGCAGGATTTATATATTGAATAAAAAATCCTTCAAAATTAGAGAAATGACAACCTTCCCTGGTTAACAAAAAACTAAGAATTTAAGGCAGGCATGGTGGTATATACCTGTAATCCCACCACTTGGGAGGATGATGCAGGAGGATTACCACAAACTCGAGGCCTGCCTGAGTTTATAGTGAGACCTGCCTCAAAAAACTATGAGAGAGAGAGAGGGACAGAGACAGAGACAGAGACAGAGACAGAGACAGAGAGAGAAGATTCTTACATTCTTCCTTCTTATCAATATTGTCACCAATCATGAGCATGTTAACAATAATTCCTTTTGTAACCTTTATGGCCTCTATATTCCAATGTCCTTGAAGACAGTAATATTATATTATATTATCTTGTATCATATATTTTAACCTTAACACTTAAGATCACTTCCATTTATTGATAATTATTTCTCACTTTCCTTCTTTGTGAGAAAGGCCTGGATAAAATTTGTCTCCCTTTAAGAATCAATTCCTCTTGCCAATGTGGTGGCACATAACCATAATCCCAGCTGTTTGGGAGGCTTAGGCAGGAGTATTAAAAGATTTTAACCTAGCCTGGGCAACTTAGAGACTTAGAAAGACCCATCTCAAAATAAAATTTAAAAGGGCTGGGAATTTAGCTCAACATATAGGTCTCAGGCTCAATTGCCACAACCACACAAAAAAAGAAAAGAAAAAAGAAAGGCAAAAGCTAAAATCAATGATTATAAAACAGTGTTAATGCACAGAAAATGTGAGAAAATGTAATTTGTGACAATAACAGCATGAAGAGGAAGAAGATGTAAAGAAGTAAATTTTTTGCATACTAGTAAACCTAAATGTATAATTAGAACTTGATTATTATAAATACAAGGCATTAATTGTCATTTCTGGGTTAACCACAAAGAAAATACTAAAATAATATATGGGGAAAAAAACAAGCAGTGAATAAACAATATTCTATAACAATATGAATTAATCACAAATGAAGATGATAACAGAGGAAATTGTGGTATATAAAATAATGAAAGTCCTTTTGAAAATATAATAACTTCAAATGTAAATGGATTATACTCCCTAATTATAAGTTAGAGACTAGCAGAATGGGTAAAAATGCATTATCCAACTATGGACTATGAAGAAGAAGATTACTTTCTATCACAGGTCCCATACATACTGATAGTGAATGGATGTTTCATGCAAATAGTAAGCAAAAAAACTAAATTACCATAGTATCAGACAGAATAGAATTTAAGACAAAAAGTAATGAGAAATAAAGGACATTATACATTGATAAAAGGGTAAATCCTTGAAGAAGCTATAAAAGCTATAAACGTATATGCACCTAATAACAGAGATCAACAACTACAGGGAACAAAAACTAAAAGAACTGAAGAAAAAAGATTTATCTATAATAATGCTTGGAGATATCAATTCTTCACTTTAGATAACATATAGATCAACTAGACATAATATCAACAAGAGGTAAAAGAATTTAAAAACCCTATAAAGCAACTCATTCTAATAGAAATAAAAGATATTCCATCCAATTACAAAAGTCATTTCTTTTCTCAAATGTACCTAGGGTGTTCCTTTGGGTAGTCCATATGTTTAGCCATTAAATGAGCATTAATAAATAAAAAATATTCCTAGTATTCAAAATGTCTTCCTTACAATGGAATGAAATCAGAAATCAACATTAGAAAGAAAAGTAACAAATTTGTAAAATTGTAGAAATTAAACATGCAGTTAGGAAAAAAAAACATTACAAATGAAACAAGAAAATATTTGAGAAGAATAAGAACATACCAAAAACAATGGGATCCAACAAAATCTGTACTCAGAGGAAAATTTATAGCTATAAAAAGCTACATTTAAAAAGAAGGAGGGGCTGGGGATTTAGCTCAGCGGCAAAAGCGCCTGCCTGGCAAGCGCAAGGTCGTGAGTTTGGTTCCCGGTACCGGAGAAAAACAAAACAAAATAAATAAATAAATAAATAAATAAAAAATAAAAAAAAATAAAAAGAAGGAGTATGGGGTGCACCTCAGTGGTAAAGCATATGCTTAGCATATGTGAGGCCCTGGGTAAAATCCCGAGGTGTTCACACACACACACATATATGCACACATGCACACACACAGAATAAAAGAATCCCAAACCAATAACCTAACTTCACACCTTAAGAAACCAGAAAAGAACAAGTGTAACCAAATTAGTGCAAGAATTGAAATAACACAGGTAATCAAAATAGAGAGTAGAAAAGGAAAACTAAAAGCTGACTTTCTGAAAAGATCAAAACTTTTACACTCATTTTAGTCAGAGTGACTAAGGAAAAGTGAGAGGATACAAATTACTAAAGTAAGGCATGAAAGAGAGAGTGGAGCATTTCTATTGATCTTACTGAAATTAAAAAGACTAGAACACAACATAATGAACAATTGTACTGTGAAAAATTAGATAACCAAGATGAAACAGACAGATTTGTAGAAATACAAAAGGTACCAAAAGTGACTCAAGAGGAAACAGAAAATCTGAAAATACCTATAACAAGTAAAAGATTGAATCAGTAATCAAAAATTTCCCTATATGGAAAGCACAATATGTGATAGCTTCAATGGTGAAGTTTTGAAAACATTTAGAGAAGAGCTAACACCAACCTTTCTCAAACTACAAAATGTAAGGAGAGCATTATCCAAATACTAGGTAAAGACATAACTAGAAAACTGTAGACCAGTACCACTTAGAATACAGATGCAAAGTTCTCAAAAAATGTCCATCAAACTAAATTCAACACCATAGTGTACACTATGACTAAGTGGGATTTAGCTCAAGAATGCAAGAGTGGTTCAACATGCAAAAGTCAATGAATGGAATGCGTTGCATTAATAAAATGAAGATAAGCAAACTATATGATTACAACAGTTGGTGCAGAAAAAAGTATTTAATAAAATCTATCACTGTTCTATGATTTAAAAAATCTCAGCAAACTGGAAATAAAAAAAGAGGTTCCTCAATATAATAGAACGCAGTTATGAAAAGCCCACAGCTAGTATCATACTCAGTTAAAAACTGAAAAATTTCCCTCTAAAATCAAGGGATAAAAGATGTCCACTTTCATTACATTTATTCAACATTGTTCTGGAAAAGAAGAAGTAAAATTACCTTTATTTCCATATGACATGATCTTATATATGGAAAATACCAAAATGAACGAGCTATCCCTCTGTCTCTGTCTGTCGCTGTATCTGTCCCTGTCTCTCTGTCTCTCTGTCTCTCTATCTCTCCCTCTCTCTCTCTCACACACACACACACCATGCAATATAATAAGTGAAATGAGCAAAATTGCAAGATTCAAGATAAATACATGAAAATCAACTGTAGTTCTATACACAGCAATAATTAATCCATTACAAGAGTGTTCCAAAATTTCAAATGGTCGCAACATCAACCACACAAGGGATTTTCACTATAAATAAGTACTACAAAATGATTTTCAGGATAAACCTGAAAATCATTTTATGTGAAAAAAATCAAACAGAAAATGTTATGAATTCCAATTGCATTAAATGCTCAAATTAGACAAATCCATAACAACAGAAAGCAGATGAGAGATTGCTCAGGACTGGGGGAATATATTTAAGGCTGTGGGGTAACTGCTTAAGGAGTACTGGTTTCCTTTTAGAGTGATGGAATGTTTCAGAGCTAAAGATTGGTAGTGGTTGTACAATATTGCAAATGTACTAAATGCCATTGGATTGTACGCTTTAAAGTGATTAATTTTATGTTATGTAAAGTTTACCTCAATACAAATTTATGTTAACACTGAAGTTATCATCATGGTAAATAATGCCAGGGAAATCTCACTTTCTTTAAAAAGTTTAAATTGAAAGGGAAAGATAAGCAGAATAAAATATAAAAGTATAGTCAGCATGATTTGGATAACGTCCTTTTGTCTTCTTTCTGTTCTCTTTCAGATTATGTCTGGCCATTACCTAGATATTTGTGCCCCGTCTGGATCTCTTTAGATGTTTTGTTTTCAACGGCGTCCATCATGCATCTCTGCGCCATATCGCTGGATCGGTATGTAGCAATACGTAATCCTATTGAGCATAGCCGTTTCAATTCGCGGACTAAGGCCATCATGAAGATTGCTATCGTTTGGGCAATTTCTCTAGGTAAATAAAACTCTGGGCCATTAGAATTGCAGCGGCTATGCTCAATACCTTCGGATTATGTACTGTGAACAACGTACAGACGTCGACTGGTAACGTTTGCGTTAAATCGGGATTGTTGTATTTAGTAATTATTCTTAACCTATTTACCTGGTATTTAGGTTAACAATAATGAATATAATAAAATGGATATGAATATATAGGTGTAAAGTTTCCATGTATGCTGCTAAGTTATTTTAGGCATTACTATGCCAACGAATTCCGCAACACAGATACAAAACCTTTGAGATACTTAAAATCTTTGAAGATTACAGAGATTATATTAAAGTCTAAATTTAAATTAATTCCATGTATTTCCCAATGGAAATATTAATAATGCAACCTGAATCTTCATGAAGTGTATATGTTTAATTTCATTAAACCAAAATATGCTATTGTCTTCTTGGATTACAGTCAAACAAAAAGAGAAACAGTTACTCATTTCTCTAAAGATTGGGGAAATTAAAGAGAAATAAATGATTAGATTACAGATTATATTTAAGATATTCAAAAATCTTTAGCCATATTTGTATTAAAGTCAAGAAATTTAACTACCTGGAATCACAGACTTTTGCAATCTTTTTTTTAACTTCTTCTAGTTGAGTTTATATTGTGCCCCATTAAATAATTTCTTTTCAAACTTATATTTATGTAAAAGGTTCAAGTAAAGTTTACAAGATCAAGACTTCTCCACAATGTTCACAGCTGTCTTCTAAAGATTTGCCTCTGAGTTTATTGCTCAAATAAATTGACTTAAGTTATAAGATTGTTCCAGTGCAGATTATTATGTTAGTATATAGCACAGACACCTTTGGATAAGAAGGCATGAAATTTCTCCTAAAAATAAATGAATCTTGGGGCTGGGGATTTACCTCAGCAGCACAGTGCCTGCCTGGCAAGCACAAGGTCGTGAGTTTGATTCCCGGTACTGGGAAGAAATAAATGAATCTATACACACAATGTGATTTACAAATTCAAGAGGTCACAGATTTTAACCCCTCAATTCCCAAGGTCTCATCTGAAAAGATGCCATCTCTTATGATGCTTTACAAAGGAAACCACAGATTAATGAAATTAGAGTACTATGGGCATCAGCTTCTGGTAATGACAGAGTAGGTCACTTGGAATGACTTTTGGGCTAAAGATAACTACAAAAAAGGATTTTAAAAAGGTTAAAAATCGAGAATTTAGGGGGAAAATGAGTGATTATTTGGTCAAGATCCTAAAAGAGATAGAAATCCAGGAATAATGATCATGAAGTTTGGTTCACTTATGCCAGTGATGCAATTGCAAAACTAAAGATACAACTAACTGTAAGTTCATTTCACAGTCTTACAAGCAAATGTGGACCAAAGCAGGAACATAGTCTGGTGAGGATCGACCAACCTGAATTTAATTTTGTGATCCAAAAGGCCTGTCATCCAGGAATAAAGATGAACCAAGGTTAAAGCACCCATGAAATAGAATTCAGCCCTGGTTCAAGTCATATATGTAACCAAGAACAATCTTTTTTTTTTTTTCTTTTTGAGACAGGGTGTCACTATGCAGTTCAGGCTGGCCTTGAACTCACTTTGTAGCATATGCTGGCCTCAAACTAGCAGTGATCCTCCTGCCTCAGCCTCCCAAGTGCTGGGATGACAAGCATGCACCACTGTGCCTGGCCTACCAAGAACAATCTTGAGTCAAAAATTTGGATTAAAGTAATTTCATACTGCTCATGTTTCCAACTTTTCTCATATAAACAAAAAAAAAATCAACATTCTAGTCTTCAAATTACTTCTTTCGATAATTTTCAAATGTAATCACTGAAATATGATAAGCAAATATAAAAGAAATAATAAATTAGACAGATATGGAACAACAAAAGCTAGTAGAAATGAACTTATAAGTATTTCATTTAGTTCACTTATCAGACATAAACATTAAACAACCATTTATAATGTGCACAGAATAAATGCAAACTGAACTTAAGTATTTCAGCAAGAAACTGACATTAAGATAAAGAAGCCATTGTAGTGTTAAGACTGACATTAAGATAAAGAAACAACTAGAACTTAGTTGCAATGTAAAACTGGAAAACATATCACTGAATTTTTCATATCCTACTACATTCAAATTTACTAGTCTTAGCTGGGTGTAGTGGCACATACCTGTAATCTCACCACTCTGAGAGGCTGAGGCAGGAGGGTTATGAATTCCAGCCCAACCTGGGCAATTTAGTGTATTAGCAAGGCCCTGTCTCAATATAAAAATTACAAAGGTCTGGAGGTGTAGTTCAGTGAGAAGGTCCCGGTTCAATTACCAATAACACCAAACAAGCAAATGAATAAACAAAGAAACAAACAGAAAAACAAAAAAACATTAGTTTCTCTTTTTTTTTGTACTTTGAATAGATATTTTACTAATGCTTTGTTTCCTAAGCCTAGATCATTGGGAAAATATTATTGTGCTGAGTTATGCAGATTTTCCAAATGTTCAGAGATTTCATTACTCAATTTTTTAAAAACCATACACATCAGTAATACCTAGTAATATAACAGAAAAGTGCATAAATATTGTGAAGGTGTCAAGCTGCCAGGAGTGTATAGAAGTTTTCAAAATTCCAGTATTCTCACAAAGGCTCAAATTTTATCATAGCCCACAAGTAACATCTGTATTTTTCTTAACTAGATGAGCTCAACTTAAGTCTCAAGAGAATTATCTGCCACATAGCCAAATCCCAGTAACTCTAGTGTATCCTGTAGACGTTCTTTCAAGTACAATACTGAGTTTGGATATCTCATGGGTGAATCCTTCAGCTGTGTTCTTCAAAATTGTCCAGACTGTTCTGAGGACTTTTCATCTCCATATAAAGCATAAATTAGCTTGCCAATCTCTAAAACAAAGTTCGATATTGTTAAAAACATATTGCATTAAATCTACAGATTAGTGGGGAATTGAAGTCTTAACACTACAATGGCTTCTAATCCATGTGCATATGTTTATGTGCACATAAATATTCCATTATGCATTTAGGCTTTCTTTAATTCCTCTGTTACATTTTATAGTTGCCAGTTTAGATATCTCACACATCTTTGTTATATTTATCTTTTTCTGAGTGGAAGAGTATCCACTGTTTAACATTGTGAATGCCATTAGTTGGAGGCTTTCTAAAATATTTTTCATAAGATTAAGAAAGTCTCTTTTTATTCTATATTTGCTGTGACCTTTTATAATAGGTATGAAATATCTCAAATCCTTTTTCTGCATCTAGTGAGTTGATTATGTAATCTATTCTTTTATTCTGTTAGCGAGACCATTTTTTACATCGTTGGGGTTTTACCTTCTATCCTAGTAATTTCAGTTTTATCATAAAATGGCATTGGACTTTATTCTTCCATATATTAATGTGGAGTATTGTTCTAATTAATTGTCATATGTGGACATAATCTTGTATTCTTTTAATAAATCCCACTTCAGTATGATAGATTTGGTTAGTTAATGTTTTGTTGTGGATTTTTGTGTCTATATAAAATATTATTGTTTTGTGGTTTTCTTGCTTATAGAGAGCCCTTCCCAGTCCTCATTGCAGTCAGAGAATTTGTAATCCCGTGGAAAAGTTATTGGGATTCTAGTGAGTTCATTCCAATCTACCACTTCCAGTGCAACCCATGGCAAGAATAAAGACACTAAGGCAGATTTGTAGTTGTGGGGAGCCAAGGAGGTCCCAAGTCCAGCTACGATGACCACTAACCAGAACAAAGACCTCTACCCAGGGAGTGGGAGTTTCTACCACTTTCCAACTGTGCCATTGGTTTGGGACCAGGCTTTCAAGACTTATCATAAAAAGTAGGAAAAGAGGCAAGGAAAAATGAAATGAAGAACACTAAGAGAAAAACTCATGTTTGCACTCTATTCGTTGCCATATTTTGAATTTTGATATGCCATTTTATGTCTTTCTAAAAAATCTATCTCTTAGCATAGAGTAGCTATAATTTTTAATTGTTTTGATTTTGGTCTTTGTACTAAAGATATTAGTGTTAAAGATATTAGTATTAAAGGTATTAGTGTTTTATGTACCACGTTTACAATATTAGAACATTCTGAATTTTTTTATACAGTAGCTGTTTTAAGTGAATTTTATACTTTCTGTTCTTCTTGCACCATTAGCATCTCTTTCATTTTGAAGAGTTGCCTTTAGCATTTCTTGTGTGATAGAGTTTATGGTGATAAATGTCTCCAGCTTTTTCTTGCCTGGGATTGCCATTGTCTTTTCTTCATTTCTTAGGGATAGCTTTGCTGGATATGATATTTTTGGTTGGCAATTCTTTTTCCTTCAGCACTGTAAACTCTTATGCAATTCTTTCCCAGCCCGTGAAGTTTCTGCTGAGGTATCTCTTGTCCAGCTAACTGAAATACTTTTACATGTTTTTTTTTGTTTGTTTGTTTTTTGTTTGTTTGTTTTTTTGTTTTAGTTTCATTTCTCTTCCTGGTTTAAGAATCCTCTCTTTGGCTTTACCCTTTGAGAGCTTGATTATAATGTGTCTTGGGGTAGAATTGGTTCTGTTAAATCTGACTGGCAATATTTCACCTTGACATTTGTATTTTCCTTAAGCTTTGGAAGTTCTCTGTTATATCTCTCTGAATAAGCTTTTTAGTCCTTTGACATTGTCAAACCCCTTTAATAACCCCAAAACATGAATGCTTGCTTTTTTAGTGCTGTCCCCTGTAAACTTCATTTTTCTTTATTGTTTCCTTTTTTTTTCTTACCTCACACTATGTAAGAAAGCCTGTCTTAAAGCTCCCTGATTTTTTCTTCTCTTTGACCTATTCTGCTATTTATGCCTTTTACCATGATTTAAATTTTACTTATTGTATTTTCATATTAAGGGTTTCTGTTTGATGTTTTTAATTACTTCAATCTTTTTATCAAGTTTCTCTGATAGAATGCTAACTCACTGCTCTGTGTTTAATTGAAGCTCTTT